CGGCTTTTGTTCGTTTACATTTATGTTTTCTCTTGTTTGCTCGTTAGCACGCTAACCTCCGCTAATCAACTACGATTATATTAGATACACGATTTCTTTTGCGATTACATTAAGTTCACGTGTGCGAGCTTCTTACTCTGGTTGCTCTGCAGATAGTGGTTCAATAGTGGTTCCCTTAGGTCACCCTACTTCCGCTAGGTTTCGTTACGCAGAAAGCTAATACGCTTATATTTAACGTTTCTACGTTTAACAGTTAACTAGGTTCTTCAACGCGTCCAAGATAGATGAGTGAGCTACCGTCTCCTATAGTCGAGGAAAAATTGAATCTTTGGTAGAAAAACCATTTTTTCTTCTCATCTGAGCCCCTTTACTATCAGACACTGGAGATAATTGTGTACACAGGGTGCTTTAAAAATGCTGAACATTTTTCTGACATATTTTAACGAAGTTTTTCGTTTGTAGCTTCTCTGTGTTGGTTCCGTGAACGAACATCCGTACAGTACTGAGTATCCTTTTGAAAAGATTCTTCACGAGCTAATATAACTGGGATGAAATACTATTGTAACTCGTTTATATCAAGGTGTTTCCTATTAATTTTACAATTCTAATTTCTCTGATAATTAGAATGAGAAATTTAGTGTTTCTAGAACACCCTGTATATTGGCAAACATCTATAACAAAGAATCGGTCAATCCTTATGAACTGATCCTGAGGGACCTAAATATCCATTCTTCAATGGACACCTAAGTGGTTGAGCAGTGGATATGTTCTTTGATAGATATTCTTAGATGAGCTATGTCACTCTCAAGACTCACAGATCTATCGTCCCCCGACGTTAAGTTACAAGAATTTCTCTTTACCTTCACTATGAATCCCCATTTCTGCTAAAGATCAATCGAATCCAACTGAATCCTCTTTATGAAACAACTCTAATTTCTTTATGAATCCTCTTGATGAAACGACAATGTATCTCTGATAGTAAAGTTGCACCCTTGAAAAAATTCCCTGTCACCTTCTAAACAGCTCAAAATGTACATTGAAAGGTATCATCGATCTTGGCTGATCCGATTGTTTTGTCTCGTGAACAACTTGACAACTTGTGTACAATAAGCTTGTCTTCACAGATTGTAGCTTGCCGAAGATCGTCAGGTAACGTGCAGCGTTCGAGATCGCATTATAATTGATCACGATCGATCGTACAGGAAATATTATCGTCGTTATCTAAGACTAGGTATCTCCTTTCGACTTCGCGTGAGACGTTTAATCTACGTCTACAGTTTTTTTTGTGGAGGCAGTTGCGTATATTTGTATGTTAGATAACACCTACGGTGCTCCCTAACGTGTAGGATGGAATACGCTTCGTTCAGAAGAAGAAAAAGAACCCTTCTATGCAGTTGACAAGAGCACGACAATAGTCACCTGGTTTTGTTACAATATTTGTGGCTACGAAGAAACCTCAAGTTTGGAGTCCGTTGCATTAGGGTGCTGCACACACATTCTACATTTATTTACAAAAATAAAGGAAAATAATTTTACCCTTTCCTGAAGAAGGTGTCCTATAAATATTATTTTGAAAGTATAAGGACTGGGTGACAAATGTTTAATGTAATTCTGAGTACAAACTTCCTTTAAAAAATTGAATTTCTGTCAAAAATTTGTTGCAACCACCTAATACAATTGCTCAAAACAATAAGGAGTCTTTATTATAGTGAGCCGTATACTACTAACAATACCTATATACCCTTCACATATTCATACATTTTTCCAATTTCATTCTTAGATTGCAATTATAAAAGTGGATAATATATGAATATACTCTGAGAATGAGTCATTAGTAATTGATTACCTCATATGAAAGGTCTCTGATTTTTATAACATGCTGGAATTTTTTTGACTTTTCTTAGTATACGCAATATTTTAATCTTTTTGAGCATTGTACTTGTACTCAAAGTATCAAAGGACTTAGCCCTGTGGTGACACAAATATTTTGGGACTATAAAATAGCACACATGGATCATCTAGTTTCACCTCCATTTTGATATATTTTAGGTACTCAAAAGATTTTGTAAAAACTTACGCACACAGCTTCAAGCCTCTCTTATAATAACTTAACATTCAGGTCATAAGCACACATGATCTATATGTGCATTTTTACACCTAACAAAAGCTTCTCTAAGCTTTAGAAATGATGAGTGATTCAAGATTTGATCATTCATAGGAGTTAGAAGTGATTGGTTACACGTTTAAAAAATTGTCTTCTGTAGCTTGCGTGTCTTCAACAGAATAAATTAACTCAAAATTACCATCACCATTCAACTAAGCGTATGTGGAAATTTAATAAAATTTTAATGGAAACACAGAGAACAAAAGACAGTGAAAAGAAATGAACAAAAGAAACGTGTTTTCTCAGACACACTTCATCTTCTTTTTATTTCTTTTTAGTATACAGTAATACCGTGATCTTCGGGATGAAGGTGAGGATCGTGAGTTCTTTTTTAAAAACAGAAAAGAAAGATAAATCGCCACGGTCAAGCACTTCGTTTTTCTGTCCCCCCGGTTTTTTTTGTATGTAACTTTGTATTGTCCTGGCTAATATGTTTAAACTGTGGTTTCACGAGTTCATTGAAGCGAGTTCGATCGCTCTGCCATGAGAGAAAAAGCGTTGTTACATGATCTATTTAGGAGCGTGTGTTGCTCACTCCATTAGTATCACAACAGCAGAGATGGGCAAATTTAGAAAATCAACTGAAACAGGTAAAAATCTCGTTGCCTATATTATTCATTCAAATCGTCTTACAATTAGAATACATTTTACAAATAGAATGATATTTCACTTGAAGTCAGAATCCAAGGTCTGCCCATCTCTGTGTAAAAGTACACCTAATGTAAAATCCTAAGACAACGCTATGCAATTGTCGTAATTTTGGTGTCATCAACATACTCGAAACTAATCTAACAAGCTGTTGACTAAATCTGATACGTTCTGTGCTTTTCCTCCCCCTCTTTTTCTTATTCTGTTTGAAACCGTGCTCCATGGGATTCTCTACTACCTGACAATGTTTCAATTTTTTGTAGTTTTTCTATTTTTGTACAAGTGCGCTTCATAACCAGTGCACGGATACTCTTGTCTCGTTCAGATCTACGATTCTCTTGATCCACCCGCCATGTCAGTCTATCGCGCCGTTTCCGGTTACTGACAAAACACCCTAATTAAATGTGCATATCGAAACATTTGCCTTATAGTGTCCACATCGCTGTATCTTTCATCCTTTTGTTAATTCAAGAACAATCACGATCGTGCAAACTCGCGATTAACGTCTTTTTGAATCCTTGCACTACCAATGGGGATCACGATCACACCAGCCAAAGACGGCAGTTCGAGCATCGAAGTTAGTAATAAATCAAATCGAATACCGTTCAATTCTTGCAAAAAAAAAAGAAGTCATATGTATCTTTTTCAACAGATCAAGAAAAAAAAATACATGTCCTATATTTTCGTTAATAGCTACTTCCTACAAAAATGTCCTTAAGATAATTACGTCATTCAAGAAGTGTTTCTGGTAAGCTGTCCAGGACCATGGGTAGTGCAGGGGTTAAAAAGAAGCAGCCTCTAAGAAGTACGAAGATCGAAAATCGTAGAAACGATACAAGTTAGAAACTGTTCCTAATAAAAATGGAAGGAATGGTATACTCGCTACGGTATAAAAGGGCGTGTTCTCTCATATTTTTTTCTCCCCGTTTCATTTTATCGTCGACACGTAATATCTCATTGTGGGGCCGCTAGAAAATCGATCTCGGGCCGTGTGAACGGCCAACGACTCAGGCCCGAGGGGGCAAAAATCAATTTATAAAATCGATTATCAAAACGTCCTCCCCCTAGTGGTGCTCATTCTACTTAAATAATCGTACAATCTCTCTAGGCTATTCTTGTCTCGTTCGACAACGGAAATTGGTGAGTGGTTTACAAAGCGGTAGAAACGGTGGGCGACACAGTCGATTGATCCTAATTTAATATAGAGACTATAAGCTCGTGGACAGTACCGTGGTCGTGTAGTTGGCATCCAAAGAGGATTGATACGATTTCTATTATCAGAGCCGAGCGAACATTTATCATATAAAATAGCAACGAAATGTCCTTCTTTATCAAACGGATCATAACACAAATCACGGTCTCTTTTATACTAGTGTGGTACAATAAACTACCGAGCTTAGTGAGTACTGGATTAAAAGTGGAACTCAACTCAGTTTGTTCCTCTACTTTGGGCCTCTCTTTTGCCTCTCCTGAGCCAGCCTGTATGGACATCATATTATTTGTGTATCCTATACAATCTAAACGAGATACCGTGAAGGGACAAGAACGTGCGTAGAAGAGTACTGTGGTTGGAAGAAATATAGTGACCTTGTAAGCGACTCAGGAATGGTCCACAATCGATCCTTTACGAGCCCGAATTTTTAGTCCTGGACACACTACTTAGACAAACATAAGATAGTGTGGAACTCCGATACACGATGCATAGAAACTTTCAAGCATTTCAAAATAGTCACTATATTTTTTTCATCTACAGTCTACCAATATAAGAAAAACTAAATAGTTAGCATTCCACTTATTGTCTGCGTTCTCCAAATGTGTGATCTACAGCAAGTGCAAAAAGTATCTGCATATGCTTACCGAATCTTTAAAAATTAACTTCGATTGCAGTAAGTTTTCAAACAATGTATTCTTCAGCATTCTAAATTCTTTTATCTCTTTCAATATACAGACTAGGGCATAAAATGTCACTTAAAATTTATAATAAACCAAAGCAAAGATTGTGGGACAAACTAACGATCATAGGAGTATTGTCTCATTTTATATACGATTGGTACCAGTTTTGCAGGAATCGATACTTCATAATGAAATCAAACTGCACGACATTTAGTGCACCAGACTGTAGTTGGTATAGTAGTAATATACGTGCAAATACCTTTTGCCACGGGTGTACATTTGGGGTATTACGAAGCGAGGCACAGGCGTGTGTGTTCGTTGTGGTCACTTGAGACTCGAGAAGCACGTTGTTCGCCAAAAAGTATGTAGGTCGCGAAAACGTGTTCTTCGTGTGTGTGTATTGTGTGTGTGTTGATCACGCAATCAAAGTTGCGTTTAATCGCAATTTTCTTTATTTTTCTCCCTCGTTCAAAAGATCAGTACGAAGAGCAACTTCTTCCTAATGCTACTTGTTCTCAGATCCTAGATCGTTTACATCGGGCTGCGATCACGCTTCCAGAGTTTCGTTCAGTGGTTCTTGCACAATTTCTGTGACACAGTGTTTACGTAGCCAAATGTGTGTCCTTTTTTGCAGAATTGTAACGTGTGACGAGCTACACAAGGTGTTCATCTTCGGCAACGTTTTTTTTTTCTTTATAGCGTATATAATATGCTCCTTTAAAATTAACTTCTTTACCGTTAACACGATTGGCAAATACATATATATATTTACATTCACTATCTACAATTGTATCTACACATCAACAAACGGTTAGCTTAACATTTTTCTCGTGGTGTCGTGTATGTTTCTATCATTTCTGTGGTATTTCATCTTCGTCCGTTTTCGACGACGTGATTCCCTTCCTTCGTACGCGTTATCATAATCATCATAATTATTTATCATCCGTTTATGACATTATTTCAATCGAAAAATCTCATCCGTATCCATTCATCCTTTGCCACATTCTCACTTTTTCTTTCTATCTCCCTCTCTCTCTTCTGTTTCGTTTCGTATGCGATGTATCACATCCGACCACGTGGTGGTCGTGATTCTCGCGACTAGTTCCAAGCGACGATCGACGAATTACAATTAAAATTGAAAAAGAAAAACAAATCATCGTCGTCGATCCTTCTAACCCTCAACGACACGCGATCAATTGAAATCAGCATTAATGGTTCATTCAACAAAACACGTACATGCGTGTGTTTATGTGTATATATAAAAAAATAAAATAAATACAACTTATAATAGAAAAACAAATAGGACAGCTAAACGATAATCGATAAATTGTTATAGTCCAGTGGGTCAACTTTCTGGCGTCTGACGTTGTAACATCACATCATCGCCATCATTCTTTCGATTTCCTTAGTATTCATCGTCTCCCAGCTCTCCTCCCTCTTCTCCATCGAGGGAGAAGAGAATGCATTCAAGATCACAAAAATTCTTCTCCTTAGACACTGACAGTCTCATATGATTTTTCGGTTGGTATCCATCGGTACCGATCCAGCCAGCCGGTTATACTTAAACCTGTTAATCGATTTAATCTCCTCTGGTAATTGTCTCTTAGAAATTCTAGTCTTCCTGTAATCTCTCCTGGGGACGATTAACCTCTACGAGACTGTCGAGTTCAGGTCAAATTAGGCTGCGGCGAGGGCGTAGTCCTTGACAACATTCTGTACAAGGTGGCTGTGTCCTATATGAACGCCCAGCATTCCAGTGTCTTCACCACGAAGTCCTCGCGTGGCGCCAGCGGTTCGTTACCGTACGTACTGCAGGACTGCGTTCTGCCTTGGTACAAGTCACCGTCTAACCACAGTCCAAACTTGCCACTAGAAAAACAAAAAATGATCTGTCAGTTAATACAAATGTGAACAGCAACTATTCTAAAAGGTACAACGATTTACTAGTAGCTACAGTTACTCCTCAGCTTTTAACTCTAAGAAGTAAAACAGTATTGTATTATACATTGCTTTCAAGTTCCAAGTTCAAATATACGAATAAACAAATTAATTATGTATGATGACTTGGGCAACGTGTAATTTTTATAAAATTAAGAAACATATAAATGATAGTGTTGACCAGTTTCTGGATTCTGAGACGTTGATATAATGGCGAGAATTTGTAAACCTATGCGTGAATTAATAATACAGTTTTTGACTTAGGAATTCATAATTTGTATGTTGAGCAATCATTTCAGTAGTTCCTACCTCCTGTTACCATTTATACATAACCCGTATAAAAGTACTTTACAACAGAGAAGTCAACTATGTTAAATAGTAATATGGTGTCTCATGTATTTTAATGTCAAATAAATCAGATTTATATCTTATCCATGAACTGAAGAATTCTAGGAGAATACTTACTCTCCAGCTCCGATGGCAAGACTCTCATTGTTACCCTTGATAAAGTACATGTTATCCCCCGTCCAGTTGAATGCTTGGAACCTGGGTGAGAACCTGAAGAGTAGGGACTCACCGGTCCCGTAAAAGTGGTCACTGACGTGCAAAGCGCAGGAGGTCAACGCGCCAAATACCTGTAACCATAGACAGCAACGATTCGTACTTTAATCACACTGAACAATATAAAATATATTTCAATTCTGTTATGTACCTAACAACACAGTCATGCAACTCTAGCAAATAATAAATTCTTTTCCCTTTATCATGAACAATTTCTCAATGTTTAACGGAACTCTAAAGTTTTGGATTTTCTAAAAGCTCTGAAGGTTTCATAATCTAATTATTTCATAAAAATGGCAGGGTTATTGTAAAAGCCTATATCTATGTAGGATTCTACATTCTATGTGTGCCACTATATTGAGCCACAGACCAGTAGGTATTAACAAAAGTGGAGTGTACAATCTGCTTTACTAACATCTACTGGACTATACAGTCCACTTTTACTAACATCTACTGGTCCCTGACTGGCTCTGCTACACTATACGTGTCTCATTTACAATTTCCTAGTTTGAATTTCAAAGAGTTTCTTGAATAATGAACTTACATTGCCTTCAGTGTCCTCGATGACCAACAGAATGGGACTTTCTATCTTGGCCATCTTCCTGTACATGCTGTTTAGACTGAATCCATGTTGGCTGGTGCTGAAGACGAGTGTCCACAGGTAACCCTCTGCTCTGGCAGGCAAATGCCGGCACAGTTGTTCTCTGTGGTCATCGCTCAGGATTTCTGTGTTGCCCACCAGGTCTGGCACAATGATTTCATTGTCTAGGGAGACTGCACTGTTGGCGTAGAGGGCTCGCCTGAGCTCCTCGCTCATAGACAGTACCTGTAAACGGCGAAGTAGATAATTAGTATCCGGAATATCAAGGATAGAAATAGATTTAGGAGATATTACAGAAATGGAGTTTAGAAGTTTAGGAGTTTACTGAGTTCATCGTACTGTCACAAGTTCTTGTGAGCCTGTGTATCAAGTAGTAGAGAAAATCTATAGCCTGAGAACACTAAAGTTCCAGGTGTTCTTAATGAGGGGCTTAGTGAAAGAGGGGCACATGCCACAATACAGTAAATTTACACGAGAACTACTTGTTAATGGTAGGAAAAACTAAAAACCGATGTAGATGTGGCATGTGCGTCATTAAGCTCCTCAATTGTCTAATCCATTTTTGGAATACATTCACTTGTCAGCTTGTTGCTGTATAGGATGTTTCATATAAGGTGGACAATAACTGCAGGACCGTAATAAATATTTGTCTTGTGAATTCTTGTTGGGTTACTGTGAGTGACTGTACACAATACTTCTCAGATAGCATATGACGCCTTTAAGACGCCCATTTTACGGCTGTTCTAGGTCTAAAGCGCCTTTAAGTCATCTTCAAGGCGTAATTGATCGTCATGTGCTATCTGGGTTTATTCTGGTCTATGTATTGTTATTATTTCATTATACTCTAATAAGGTCAGATCAATAACACACGCATAACTCAACTCCTTGCCCTACATGACAAATTCCTTCCTGAAGTTATGTCTCCATATTATGAAGCAATATTGTTGAAGATTCAGTTTGTTTAATTTAGTATCACATCTGTCATAAGACGATATACTCAGTGATCCCATTCAATAATTCACAGGACTCTTTTTTTTATTATTGAAGGTAAGGGGGGTTGCTATAAAGGATCCATCGGTCTCTAAACCTATTTCTAGATCTAACACAGCTAACACACACTACAGGTGTGGCATTCAAGTGTCGTGTTTTAACTGTTGTTCTGTAATGTTCGTATGTCTCCCTGATCAGGGGTGTCGTTGAATATGTATAAGAAGAAGACCGTGTGTCCTTCTTTCGCGTGGTCTCTTCCATATTAATGGTGCTGACTAATTATGCTCATCTTACGCCGAACCCCTTGACCTTTCTTTCGAATCGAGTCAACACAGAGGATTACGTAAACGGCTCGTTTTACAATACAACGTTGTCCGGGAGAATTGAAACCAACCTCTCGAAGCTTGAATTTTTATAACTAAATTGCGTTGTGGCTAACAAGTGGATACCCGACTAATCGCTTTTCCACGTTTTATCGTATATCTCTTCGACTGTATAAAGAGTAATTCTATGGAATTTACTTCTCACAGAGAAACCGACAATTTTATGAAAAATAATAAAAATCAGGTTTCGCGAGTAGTCGAAAGAATTCATTTTTGCTGTGACTAATATGAGTGACAGTTAATGCTCGATTAATCGGTCATGCCACGACCACGCTGTTATCTGGTTTAATGACACAAGATGTGAGCGCGGTGAATCCACTTATGCGCACCTGCCTAGAACGATAATATCATGCCGATTCGTCTCCCGCGGGATCACGAGTCACGTGCCGCCCCTGTTGCTTCGTTACGGCTTTGCATCTCGTCCATTAATATTATGAAATTTACATAACAGAGCTCAGCAGAGTCACGTAAGCGGTGCGTGAGGAGCAACGGGGATTTTCCTTTCGAATGGCATGGCGCCGTTTTCACTTAAGGAGGAACACCCACCACTGAGAAACTTAAACAAAATCGAATTTTAAAAAATGCATTTTCTTAAAGTTTGACTCTTCAGAAACACGATCTGAAAATTTCGAATCGATATTCGAAGAATTTACAAAGATACAGTGGATTTGGTTACATAAATAATTTCAAGTGAAACTTTAAACGCATTTTTCTTGAAACGATATTTTTCTAACGGGTACGACAATCCTGTCAATTTCTATTCAATCGACTTGAAATTTTGACAAGATTCTTAAAACAAGATTGCCTTCAGGTGCACGTACGGATTTTGTGATCGAAAATAAATTATTTGAAATACACTCGAGAAACTGTCTTCTTGTTGCGGATTTTCAAATCTTTGTTTTCTAAAGTGCGCCATTTTTACAAAAGTAAGGTTTTTTTAAAAATCCGTACGTGTAACTGAAACTAATGTCATACAGTTTATAAAAAAGTTTTTACATTTGATTTCAGAGTTGTTGTTCCAAAATTGCCAACGTTTTTTGTAAGTGCTCTAGAAGATTAATCTTAAGATTTGTGCTTGTTCTCCTATTAATTTTGGAAACTGTAAATTATTCCTGAGAAAGATTCTTAAAAAATGCTTATCTTTTCGGCCGTCACAGTGGTGTTCCTCCTTAATTAGTGGAAATGCCACCTTTTTGTAATGCGTTAGAAAGTCACGAAATTTATTTTTTTTTACACTGAAATTCCATTTATCGTTTCATAACTTGAGTAACGATAAATGTGAAAAATAAAAGAGGGTTATTCTATCGTAGGTAGAGGCTATCGATGATTTATTCATTAGTAAACAGAGAACGATTGGGAAACATCCTGGATTGTTAATCTGGGAATGAGGGTCGCAACAGTTAATGTGTAAGAAATTAATATACTGCAACTTATGACTTTATACGAAGCTTCGATTACAAACTTGCAGCGCGATTTCCATGAATGAAGGTTTCAATCAGCAGAATCTCGAAAACAATTCAAGGATTACGTGTTTATTAATATCACTGTCGCCACGGCAGTACTTCCAGGAAATTATATTTTTTCTTCTAGTAGAAAAAGGTTTACGGAATCGACTGAATATGTTAAATGAACCTGTAATCCTTCGATTCGAATGTACTGTTATTGTTAATTAGTTACTGACCAGCGTAATTGTACGTATACACTGTGATCTACATAGTTCCCTCCTTATAACGCAAAAATCGATTCACTGTGATTCGACGTTGCAGAAATTTTTCAATGGTAAAATCTCGATGGAATTTGCACGGCCAAAGTACGACGTTTCGTTGATACTCAGAAGAAAATACGTAATTCGCCAAAAAAAAAACATTGTGTAATGCAGATAATAAACGCGCCGGTCCAATTTAGCGGTCGTTTATCGCGATTACTCAATAAACCGTAAAAATCCCTCATTATAAAATTGTCTTCAATTCACGCGAGCCTTGAACGGTAGCGTCTCACGTTTCGAATATATGGCGGATGCAATTTCTTCGAGTCTTTAAAAACGTCGGACATTACAAACTTCATTCATAATTAACATAATCAGAGTTTCATTTCTAAAAAATCATGAAAACAAACCGTATTATCTGTTTGGAAAAATTTAGAAACCTAAACTGAAGTATAAAAACCTGTTACTATTTAGATCATATACGGTATACGAGTGTGTCGAACACCATAACCTGAAAACCCTAATGGCAGTTTATCAAATTCTTTGTTACGTTTTTCATTAGACAGGATCCTGCATAGGTACATTAAACTTTTTTAATACCCATTATTGTTAAGAGTTTCGAAAAATGTGTATCTGCATAAACATAAATTCAAAGCGTACCTCGAACTAACGAGGTGGCGCCATTTTGTCTAATTCGCACGTCATCCTAGAGCCGGGCGCTATCCTCTCCGTGCTCATCAGTTTTTTTTCTTCGCAAATATTTGATCAATAACGGTATCCGTTGACAAACAGGAGAGTGTTTATTACATGCACGCGGTCAGCCGAGTGTTAAGAGCATCTATTCCAGCTAACCACCGTTCGCAGTCGATTCTCACGCTCGCGAGAGGCGATCCAGCATCCAGCCGCCGTTATTGGCTGATCTCCCTTTCACGGGGGACGATAATCAGCGATCTTTTTCGCGCGTATTTACAAACAAGTCGCGTTCACCCGGGTTTTTACGCCGATACACATCAATCCCGCCGAGGTCGCGTCAATTAAATCGACGGTGGGGTCTCGAGGAAAAACTGACAGTCGAGTTAACTCGTCTTAGCCAAAGTTGGGCACAATTATTAATCGAATAATATATGGCGAAAAGTAGCAGTATCTTTCGAACGATTGTCATTCTGACCTTTAAACTGTTAATAAGAATGAATAATTGTCTGCCACGTGTCTACTCTTTTATAAGAAGTATTATATTAGTATAAAAATTGGAATTTTCATGTTTAATTGATTACCAATGGCGGAGTAAGCTTTCAAAATCTTTTATTCATTATTCGAAACTTTGTATTTAGATAATGAATGCGTCCATCTCTGGTCTGAGCTCGAAGGAACATTTAAAGTATTATTGCAAAATGGACAGTTCTCTATTTTATTATCGAAAAATTCAGAATAATTAACGTTACAATTATTATTCCGTTTCAAGTACGTTACTCGAAGCAATTAGAGGATCGCTACTGCGGTCCTGTTGCGCCAATCAAATTAAAGAAAACTGATGCCGCAGGTTTGACTGATTAACACCGTTTTCCATACGATAGCAACGTTCAGATTTCTTTTCGTCAAAAAGAGAAACTATCTTCAACAGCAATCACTTTGGACGCCTCTACAGACACAGCGTTTATAAAAATGTTTTAGCCCCTCAGGTCCAAGAAACAGATCAACCTCCATCGCCCATACGTAGATATTATATTAGCTTATAGCATAACAAATGTCATGTCCAAATTTTGGACTTTCAAGGATTCTGACTTACTTCGCGACAAATACTTTCAACAGAAATAAGATTCATCTCTGAATCGATCTACTCTTGCCAACGAGTTACAAGCCTTTCTCGATGCTGTATTTAACGGTTTCAAGATGGCTGACATAAAACTCACTGGAAAACGACATTCACTATGCGAGTAATCTGATACTTCACGTTTCCTAAAGAATATGAACGGTATACAGCCTCCTCTCGATTATCGTCCAGAACTCGGGTCTGTATCGGGACAATAATCATATAGGGAGAAATGCTTCAGACCCTCGTAAATTAATTTTTTGTCCGAAGCCCGAGCCGTGACAACAAAAGCAAAGGGGCAACAAATTGTGCCCCCCCCCCCCAAGTGGTGGGGATA